CCTGGTGAGGTAGTGTCCCCTGGTGAGGTGCACCGAGAACCAGGAGGGAAGCAAGAATATGGGAGGAGGGTGGGGTGGGGTGCAAGGGTCGCCTTTCTGCCTCAGGGAGCCAAGTGTCCCCTTTCCCAGAGCCTTGGTTTCGTTAGCAGAAAGTCTCCAGGAGGCTGAGGGAGGCCTGGGTTAAGCCGGTCTCCCTGGATGAACGGACTTCACAAGCCGGGAGGCGTAGACAAACGCTGTGTGTTTACCCTACATCTGCCGGTGGTTTTGTTTCCTCTTCTTGGCCTCCAGGGCTCCACAGCCCTCTTCCAACCAAGAGACAAACCCTTCCCAGGGTTGCTGTGCAATCCTAGAAAGTCATGTGACCCTCCAGTGTCCCTAGGACATCTGTGAGCCCAGAACAACCCCCCAAACCTCAGCAGACCCTTCATCATCCCCACATGTTCTCCTGAGTCTAAAGGTGGTCTGGACTGTTCTCATTTGAGACACGAGCTCAGCCTGCAGGAAGGTTGACAAGATGGCTCTCCTACACCTGTTTCTAGACCTGTCCACCTTAGATGCCATAAGGCCAGAAAAGAATTTTTTGAAAAGCAGTTTAAGACTGGGGTGAGAGGGGTGGGTAGTGGCTTAGTGCAGAGCACGTGTCTACCATATACAAAGTTCTAAACTCTATTTCCAGTACCACACACACGCACACAGAGGTAACAGATCTAGAACCAGCTTAGAAGACACAGCCATCTGTCCATGAATCCAAAGCATCTGTTTGTCCTTCAACAATGGTCAGCCCAGCCCAAGTGCAGACACAGAGGCTGCCTGGCTCTGCTAGAATGCAGGAAGCAAGGAAAACGTTCTGGGCCTGGAGCATCAGCAGGGCACTGCTAATCTGGGTGAGTGGTCACCAGGCATACATAGGAAGGCCCTTGCTGGGCTCCCTCATCCTGCGGGCACTCGAATGAGAAGTCCCGGGTCTGACAACCCCTGGAAGGTGAAGGCTTGCCTTGGGAGATGGACCTGTCTGCACATTAACAGGAGCTGCAAGCCAAGGGTAGGATGTGGCTCAGCTGGTAGTGTTTGCCTCACATGCATGAAGCCCTGGGTTTCATCCCCAGCACTTTTAAGCCAGGCATGATAGCACACGCCTGGAATCCCAGCACTTGGGAAGTGGAGGCCGGAGAATCAGGAGTTTAAGCCTCCGCTACACAGAGGGTCTACAGCCAGCCTGGGATACAGAAGCTAGCCAGTACCAAGCAGGAGCGGCTCACACTTAGGAGATAACCTGCTGGACAGTCAGACAGTGACAGAGAGGGAGTGACCTTCCAAAGCCTCAGGAACAGGCCGCGATGCTGGAAGCCTAAAGAGCAGAAGGAAATGAGCAGGAAGGAACATCAAAGCCATGCACCGTAGGCCCGGGTTAGGTCCTGATGCTGTGGTGCAGGCACTACAGCAAGATTCACGGAGAGCCGGGGAGCTGACGCTAACAAGGCTGCTCCAAGAAGCCTGGCTGCGGGGCACCCCAGGCACAAGGTACAGGCACGGTCCGAGGGGCCTGGCAGGGTGGCTTGCTCCTAGAAGAGGTCAGAGCACTGCGCAAGGGCACAAGCTGAGAGGCGAAAGCAGGGAAGGCGGAAGGGAGAGCAAGCGAGGTGGTAACTTGAGAGGGAGAGCGAGGTGCGGCACACTCACACCTGGGTCTCTTAGCCCACGCTACTCCAGTGTGAGGAGAATCCAGCTGGGCTGGTCCCAGAGCCCCAAGCTCCCTTTGGCTCCAACTCAGGAACCCCAGGACTTCCACCGTCACGGTCTTGCAGTGCTCTGTGTGCAAAAAAAGTCTGTTGCATTCTGACATCAGCAGCTTCATCTGGGCCCTGACCCCTTCGGTACTCGTCCTCGGAGATGCTAGGGGAGATCAGGGCTGGAAAAGAGTTCAGCCATTTAGCTGAACAGCCCCGGCCCCTCTTCCCCTCACATCTGAGGAGCCTAAAGATATGAAGGACCTCCCAGGACCACCTGCCTAAGAGCCCAGGCCCTCCATCATCTGGACAAGACCTCTGACATCAAGCCACCACTGAGTGAGCAGGAAAACCATGAAAAGGCATAGTGTAAAGAGAGCCTGTGTTTATCATCAAGGGACACGAGTTCAAGTCCTGGCACTACCACTTTCTACTTACTCTTCCCATATAAACACATTTGGGCTTTGGATGTTCACTTCCTTTTCCTGGACTCCAGGGACCTCATCCATAAGACGAGTATTAATAACCCTGAGCCTTCAGAGGGATCAAAGGGTTAAAAGGCAGAGCAGGGCACTGCCTGCCACAGAGCGGAGGGCGGAAACGTGCCGCTGGATAGCTCCGTGTGAGCATGCTCTTCCTTCCATAGCCAGCCCAGCCCTCAGAAGACACAAGCCCCAGAGATGTCCTCCAGGGAGGATTGATTTAACAAGGAACAGACCTACCCCATGCCCTCCTCAGAGGCTCAGGCAGAGCCTACTAGCTGGGAAGGTCCAAGGCACCCACCCTGGAATGAGGAGAAAGGGGGAGATCACACTCACTTCTCCAGTGTTCCCAGCTCTGTACCTTAACAACTGAACCCAGGGGTCTCAGCATGGTGTGCCAACCCTTCCAGAATGCTGAGGTCAAAGGTCTGCCCTAGTGCATGACACTTGGAAAGCTTCCCTGTACTCCTCTGCCCCTCTGGCCTGCCTCCTATCCCCCGATTTCCACCACCACCCACATCCTCGGAGTACCTAAGGGTGATGGTTCTTAAGCTACGCCGTGCAAAGGGCCTGGACAGTTGTGGAAGAGAAGGTCTCTAGGTCAGGAGGAAAGATGAGGGATTTGCATTTCAACAGGTACCCCGTGTGGGCACTCAAACAGGTCAAAGGTAACCATCAGAAGCACGGACTCTATGTTGCTGGGTTTGGGGTACAGCCCAGCCCCCATCACTGAGTGAATGACCCTCGGTGAGTCCCTTCCTCACGACAGACCCAGACTCAGCCTCGCACGGTTATCTTAAGAATGCAGTGACATTTGTGTTATGTCCCCAACACAGGGTGTGGTACATAATAAACAATAATAGTGCTCTAGCCACTGCCAAACTCAGCCCTCTGCCCTGAGTGCCTAAGGGAAGGCACCGAAAGCCAGGGCCAGGGGACCACGGTGGATACTTGAACCCCTGAAGGGTTGTGCGAACGTTCAGTGGGTAGAAGTAACAGGGACACAGATTTCCATTCTGAACAGCAAGAATGTTTCAGCTGACTGGAGATGCCCAGCCACAAAGCCAGCACCTCCAGAGTTCCCTGTCCCTGGAGGACCTGAGCAAAGGGGGTACCAGGTGTGGATGCAGCCCAGAGAAGGGGCACTGGAGGGCAGGGCCCGGAGTACCCCAGCGAAGGCTGGGGTCAGCTTCTGTACCCTGACCCCTCCCTCTTGCATGCTAGTTGGTCCTTCGCCGTCTCTCAGTGTTTACAGCGGTCACCTCCACTTTGAGAGGCCTAACTTTCTGACACATCCTCAGCAGAGAAGGGACGGTGGCACCATTTGCAATCTGGGACCACGGTCGCCTGCCCTTGCGTGTGCACATTTCTCAAAGGCCTGGGGTTCGCTTGTTCCTGAGATGAGGGAACCTGAAGCAAATGGGTCCTTCAGACACCAAGCTCTTCAAGTTCCAGGAGGCCAGCTTCTCTGACCCTGTGAGCCCACGAGATCTTTTTGACAGACGGACCCTTTAAGCACAGGGAGGTTAGGGAGTCTGCCCAAGGACACACAGTGAGCTGAGATTTGAACCACGTTCTCTAGATTCTAGAGCTGGGTATTGGGTCTGGTTAATTCTGGGCACACAGTCTTTAGGTCAAGAAAATAGAATGGAGTTAACACTGAGGAGGAATAATGTTTCTTATGACTCTCAGTGGTGACCCACTGACAGTTAAAACCAAGGCACACTTCCCTCCCGAGACTTCAGCTGCTGAAGGAGGTGGGATAAAGCCAGACACAAGCATCACACAAAGCTCTGAAGGACCAAACCCAGAAAAGCTTGCAATCCTCACCAGACTGAAACCTGGGGACGTGGTGGCTTGGGTCTCTCTCCCCATGCTATGTGCAGTTCAAGGTGTGTTCTGTTAGTGGAGGGTGGGGTTGGGAGCAGGCCAAGGAAAGAAAAAGACTCTGTGCCCACCGGCGTCCTTAGTAACAGCACCAGCTAGCAATGAACACAAACTCTCCAAACTTGGTGGGGCACATGGGAGGGACAGTGTGTGTGTGACGGGGTCTGAAGTTTGAAGGTCAGTGGAAGCTTCTGGAATTGGTAGACTGGAGAACCCTGTACCCCAACTCTTGTAGACCGCAGACCCCAACTGAAGGGCCTTCTTGTTGCCACCTGCGCTCTCCTTTCCAGAGGAAAGCATCAGCCCTGCGCCCCGCTGTGGTCAGGGATAGAGGCAGAAAACAGCAAAGTTTAAAGGGTCCAACAAGACTCAGAGGTCCCGCAGGAGAGCAGAAATGAGACGTAAATAAAGCGAAGCTGAGGCGCACTCCTCAGTCCTGTAGCCCTATAGAGGAATCAAGGGCCCAGGGTCCTCAAGGAGTCCCCGCTCGGATCCCTGCAGGTGTTACGGACCCCTCAACTTGACCCACGCTCTACAGCCTTTAATTACCTCTATGTGCTGGCCTGGCCGCTGGGCACTGCCATCCCAAGGGCAGCGGAGTCGGAGCAGCCCAGGGCCAGGGTCTCGTAGTCACCAAGACTCCGGGGCGCAGGGTTCTGGGCTGCCAGTTCGGCGGCCGGAAAGTTTCCGTGGGGCCGGCTGGGCCGAGCGGAGCGGGCCGGGCTGGAGCGAGGTCCGGCCGGCTCCGCGCCTCCCGCGGCGCCGCGGCTCTCTGCTCCCGGGCCACCCGGCCTGCCCTTCCCTGCCAATCGCAGGCCGGGCAGCCGCAGCTCCGCCCGCCCACGGGCCCCAGCGGGGGCGGACCGGGAGGGGCGGGGGCGCACCTGTTTGGTCAATCGACCCCACATCTCCACCACCCGCCGGGCCGGACTGGGCAGGGCCGCCGGCGCTCGCTCCCGCCCGGGCTTGGCCGGGGTCCAGGCTGGGCCACACGCCTCTCCTCCGGCCCTGCTCCCCGCGGTCCAGCTCACGCACGGCCTCAGCCCGCCCTTTTAGGTCCCTTCCCGCCTCCTTAGCTGTAGACCAGGGACAGAGAGATGACAAAGGTTCACTTTCCTTACTCCTCTGTCATCCTCTAACTACCTCCTCCTGCAAGCATCGTCCCCCGCGCGCTGACCCCCTAAACTTTCACATTCGTCCAGCACCAGTCTCCAACTTCGGGCTTGGAGTTCTCAGGTACCAGAACCCGAGAAAGGGACGGCGGTTATGTTATCTCTGGGAAGGCATTGCAGCACGCCCATCCACACGAAAACTCCGCAGCACCCCCAAAGCGGCGGGCTCCATGTCCCCGAACTTCCTTGGCCTACCATCGCCATCGCCCCATTTTCCGCGATAGAAACACTGAGACCAGAGGGGGCGAAACGCTTTTCCGATCTGATGACAGGTGAGTTGACAGAGTTTGCCTGGCTCCTGTCCCCGAAACCGGAGGACGCCTGGGTCCGCCCCGCCTGGCCCCGGGGGACCGCGAGTGGCCTGGAGGAGAGGAGGCGGAGGCCCGCGGTGGCGCGCGCCCGGCCTTACCTCGGCTGCAGAGCGTGTCCCCGCAGAGCGCGCCCGCGGGAGGCCCCAGCAGCGGCAGGGAGGCCCAGGCGAGCGCTCGGGAGGCCGAGCGCCCAGCGCCCATCCCGGCCGGACTCGGCCCTGCCACCCTCCGCGGCACCTGTGGCGCCAGCGCTGCGCACGCGGCCTGGGCCTCGGGGGGTCGAGCCCTGCCGGACCGGGGCTCCCCCGGGGCTCTTCGCGCCGTCCCGGCTCGGACTCCCACGGAGGTGGCGCGGACCCGGGCGGGAGCAGGCCGCCCTGGGCAGGGCTCTATTTTTAGCGGGAGCTGCTCTCCTAGTCGGACAGACAGAACCAGTTAATTCGGCCGTTGGGGAAGGGCCTGTCCGGGGAGCTCCCCGGAAAGGCAGCCGTGGCTCTGCTGAAAGCTGATCCTGCGCATTCCTGCCTCTCGAGGCGGGAGGGCGGGAGGACGCCTGTAATTCCAGGGGGAAGCCTGAGTCCTCTGAAGCTGTGCCTTGGGCCCAAGTGCACGCCCCGAGAGGGCTCTTGAAACTGACCTGGAACCTGGCCAGGCTCCTTTCATGCTCATATGCCTCAGATGATGGGGCATAGCATGTCTACCTTACTGAGAGTCCTCACTTCTTGTCGGGAAGATGTGGAGTCTGAGCCCCAACAAAGGACGCTGCCATCACTCTGAAGCTTCTTGGCCAATGTCAGGTACGGGGCAGTGATGTGCCCTGGATGGACTAGGCAGCTTTGAAAGCTGGAGGACACCTAAGCCTGACACTTTTCAATGGTGTGGCCTTGGCAAGCCATCTCACTTCTGGATCTATCTCTTCTTCTTGCAAAAGGGAGTTAGAGCCCCAAGACAATATTCGAGAAACCCCGTGTAAAAGCAAGACCACTACATACATGTTCTTCCAGGAAGATGCAAAGACTCAGACAGGGATTTGCGCTCAGGAAGCTCTGGGAGGAATCTAAAGAGGCACACGTGGTGTTAGCGTAAGGGTAAATAAATGGGCTGGATGATTAGAATAGAGGCTGTAAAAATAGACTCCCACATGTATGGAAACTTAATATTTGGCAGAAGTGGTGCTTAGGGGCGGTAGAGAGGGAGACCTCTATAAATGGTGCTGGAGCAATTGGATGTCCATACTAGAAAAAAATGGAGTTTCTCCCTCACACCATCCATAAGTTCAGGTGTACTAAAGAATTAATATAAAAATTAACTGGGCATGGTGGCTCACGTCTAAGCCCAGCACTTGGGAGGCTGAGGCAGGAGGACTGTAGTGAGTTTAAGGCCAGCCTGGGTTACACAGTTCCAGGCCATGAGCCTGAGCTAACAGTGAGACTCTGAGTCAAAACAAGCAGACAAACCTGTCAGAGGGCAGGATTTCTTGAAGGCCCACAGAACATCAAGGGAAAGGTGGATGCATTTAATTAAAATAAAATACCCGTGTTTATCAAAAGAAGATAAATGAAGTCAAATGCACATATACAGAGGCCTCCCACACACCAGTGTTCAGAAGAGCTGGTAGAGAGCTGGCCTGGCACTCAGGAAGCCTTGGTCTGATCCCCAGCACACATAAACCAGGCATGGTGGCAAAAACCTGTAATCCCAGCTAAATGGGACGTGGAGGCAGGAGGATCAGAAGTTCAAGGACATCCTTGATGGACTACAAAGAGAACTCAAAGCATGTATGACCAGACAATTGGCAGAAGAGAAGAACATGACCAATAAATAAATCCAAAGAGCGCCTTACTATAACCAGGGAAATACAAAATCAAGTCCCAGTAAAGTGTCACATTGCTCCTGTCAGGTTGGTCCCCAAAGTGGACAGAGGCATAGGGAGTGTGGAGAACACTCATGCCACTCTGGAAAACAGCTGGGAGGCACTGAAAAGCACCCAGCTATCCAGCCATCCTTTGGGGACACACCTAGTCAATGTCTTCTCTGCAGCAAGGCTGCCTATGGCCATATGGAGAAGAACATAGACGTACTGTGGCGTGATCTGAGAAATTCTCTACTGCAGGGAAGAGGACTAGCTAGAGGGAGTCTGCGAATCTCCCGGAAAGGGAGACAGCGAATTCAGAGGAACAAAGTGCATAATACCATTCATTTGGACTCTTTAAACACGAAAAACCAAATACCCATATATCTCACAGGTATGCACAGATGTAAAAGCAGAGAGCATGCAGTCTTGATAAATGCACCTTTCAGCCAAGTGTTTATCCCAGGGAGACAGAGGGTGATGCAGAAGCAGAGGGCATTAGGAAGAGGCTCCCCCATTTGGTAAGGTTTTATTTTTGACTGGAGTGGTGCATAAGTCTCTCTCTGTGTCTCTGTCTCTGCCTCTCTTGTGTGTGTGTGTGTGTGTGTGTGTGTGTGTGTGTGTGTGTGTGTGTGTGTGTGTGTATGTGTGTGTGATGTTTTGTGTGTGTGAACCCAGGGCCTTTCGAATGCTAGACAAGCACTGAGCTCTCCTCTAGCTCCCAAACTCTTTTTTTAAGACGCAAAGGAAGCCTGATGGGAATGCCTTTAAAAGCCAGTGTGCTCCAGAGGATGCCTTCCCCCTTTTATTTTTTATTTTATTTATTTTTTTTTGGTTTTTCGAGACAGGGTTTCTCTGTGTAGTTTTGCGCCTTTCCTGGAGCTCACTTGGTAGCCCAGGCTGGCCTTGAACTCACAGCGATTCGCCTGGCTCTGCCTCCCGAGTGCTGGGATTAAAGGCGTGCGCCACCACCGCCCGGCATCCTTCCCCCTTTTAATGACGTCATCATGTCTAGGTGCTGATGCAGGAACACTGCCTGACTTGTGGTGAAGCACTCAGAAAACCTAAAGAACACTAATAGCTTCCTAGTCCAACTCCCCTGCAGCCCAGCCTAGATGCAGCCTGCTGGACTCACCCACGTTGGCCCACCCTCAAGCTAGGCCTCCAGGCCCTCAGCTTCCCACTGCTTGTGTGCGTTTGCACAGGCAGTGTGTTCTCCTAGCACACTGCTCTGTCTCTGCTTCAGTGCTTGTATGCTACAATCCTGCCGTGGGAGACCCTGAGTGTGTGTGGGGAGGGTGCGGGTTCATATCTATTCTTGAGACATCTGTTCCTGTCCCTCACCGTCTGTATTATCACAAGATGGACAGTGACATATAGTTTGAGATTGTCTCCTGAAGCAGACTGGTTTTTTGTTTTGTTTTGTTTTTGACAAGATCTTGCTACTTGGGTCATTCTTATTTCAAAGTTGCAATCCTCCTGCCTCAGTCTCCTTAGTACAAAGATTATAGATGAATACCACCACACCTACTCACATCACCTTTCTGGGCCAACACTGCAGGCCCACTCTCTGCCCAGGGAATCAGTTAGAAAGATTTATGAATATAAGAGCTGAATGACTCCAAATACTCAGAAACCACGGGGAGCCATGCCAGACTCTCAGAAGGAAGACACCCCACCACCCGGTGGACTGCTTGGTCTTCAGGAATGTCCTGGAGAGTAGCATGAACTTTGAGGTCAGAGAGAGCTGCATTCACATCTAGGCTGAACCACTTACTAGCTGTGTGTTCTAAGGTACCATTTCACTCATCAGAGTCGCACTGTCAAGGTCTGCACAACCAGGGTGTGGCAAAGATCGTCACAGGGAGAGATCAGGATGAGTCTATGAGATCACAGGAGCCAAATGCGTGGCCCTGTTCTTAGGTCAAGCAATTATGTGAATATTGGCTAAGAGGAAGACGTTTGCAGAGGAGGGTGGAAGCAGAAGGCTGGGTAAGCAACAACAAGGGCGTGAACCAGTCCTGAACAGAAGGACCCGGAGGCGGGCTCGGGAGCCGAGTGTCAAGAGCATGCTCTAGCATCCTTGCTTCATTTCTCATGCCAGCATGCTCCTTCCCAGGTGCTGAGCTGCACAGCATGCCAACTCTGCAGACCCTCTTTATCTCCCCATGGCCACCCTGTTCTCCTCCAATCTGTTCTCACATGCATCCCAGGATCTCAATCTGGACCTGTCTTTTCCTTGCCAGCTTCCATCTGTAGGGGCGACAGAGCCTGCGGCACCTTCCCCGGGGGACATGTCTGAGATGATTTACCAGATGCATCATCTGCACTTGGATATGCAAAATCTACATATGTCCTCTTGTCAGCAGCTTCCGCCGAGGCAGCATGCAGGATTGGGACTTGCTTATGGTCCAGACTCTAGAAGATGAATCAGCCGGGTTACATGTTCTCCATGCAAACAAAAGCATAAAGTTGAGAGGGCTGGTTGGTTCCAGGAAAAGAACAGCCCTGTGCACTTCAAGCATTCTGATGAGAGATTTTCTAAACTAATAAACCAGTCTCTTTGATTTAAATCCCATCACCCAGGTGACATAAACATTAGTCACCGATGGTCCTTTGTCTCATGCAAATGGGCTGTGTGAGGTAGCAATCCCACCCAATTTATAGTCTGCCATCTTCTTTTTGGGGCAGGGTCTCGTGTAGCCCAGTCTAGCCTCAAACTTGCTGTACAACTAAGGATAACCCTGAGTTTATGATCCTCCTCCCTGCACCTCTTTCCGAGGCTGGGATTATAAGTGTGCACTGCCCTGCTTGCTTTTCTGTCTGTTTTGTGTGTGTGCGCGACATTGTGGGACATGCTGAGGATCAACCCAGGGCTTTGTGTATGTTACGCCAGCATTCTCCCAACAGAGCCACATCCCCAGCCCCTATCATCTTTCTTAATGGCGGTCTAGAAGACCATCCATGACCTCCCTTTTGGCAACACTGAAGGATGCTCCTGTGCCTTCATCTCCCCTAACCTCTGGCAGTATGTGGTTCTATGGACAATTCTGCTCCTTCTGTTTCACCACATTCTCCCAGTTTCTCTCCTAGTTTTTCTGGGTTGCTTCATCGCACTCCTGGGCCAGTTGGAAGATAAGACTCTCGGAATCTGATTGCCCTTAATGTTCTTCAAGTGTAGGAGCCCAGGGCTTTGCTTGCTGTCCTTCCTTACACCAGTGGCTCTCGTGTGCATCTCCAGCCCAGCAGGCACGGTGGTCCTTGGCCCAGGCTTCTCTGAGCATCAGGCTACTTCTCTGCCTCTGTGGCTTTCTCCCTGCGGATCCCACCCATTGGTACCTCTTGAAAGACTGGCAGATCACAGATCCAATCACATCCTTCCCACCTCTGCTGAAAAGCTTGCAGAGGCTTTGTGTCCTATTTGTGTGGCTGATAAAAACCTACCAGGGAGTTCACTGGTTCTGAGCAGAAGCACACACCTCGGGGCTAGCCAGGGAGCTGGAGGATCAAAGCCTCCGCCTGGTTCTGTGCCGCTGTCCTTGCCCTCTTCGCTGTCAGCCACTCCAGCTAATGCCAGCGTTCTCAAATACACAACACTCCTTCCTCAGACCCGGCCTCTTCTGTCCTTTCCCCTCCCAGGGGCCATTTAATGTCACTTCCCAAGAGCAGCCTCCCCTCGTGTTCACTAGACACTTGACCTCGGGGTTTTCCTTCACGGTGCTGATGGCAGTTGGTGACTGCACCTTCACTGTGTGGTCACCAGGTATTGGGGGTCCCTGAGTTCAGGGGCCACCCCTGGTGTTCATCATTGCATCACCTCTCCTCCTCAGCAAGGGCCCTAGCCAGTAGCATGTGCTCAGTAAATGTTTGCTGAAGGATGAATCCAGATCTGCTTGCATACCTCCACCGATAGGCTCTCATCATAGGACACTGTTAGTTACCAAACAGTTCTTCATTTCTCTCTATGGAGGCAGACAAACAAGCTTGAATCCCTTGACAGGTGATGTGTGTTCTCACATGTCATTCTCACAACTAGCTCTGAAGAAGTTCTAGATTGTACTCTATATTTCTTTTTGACACAGAAGGAAATGGAAGCTCAGAGAGTGTGTGCAAGTTGCACAAGATCACACAGCACAGAAATAGCTGAGCAATATTCAAAGCCATGCCTATGCTGTTCTAAATCTGAGTCTTTGTACCACTGTGCCACGTCGCCCTCTTTCTGCACACTGTGTTACAATATAAAATAACCAATAGCAGGCTCATCTGGAGGGAGCCAGACCCTTCCTTGATAGTGGAAATGAGATGCAAAAGCTGGGAGCTGTGGCTTGGCACCGACTGTTTGCCAAAGCACAAAGCCATGGGCTCCATGCCCAGCATCATATAAAGTGGGCATGGTAGTGCACACCTGTAATCCCAGCACTCGGGAGGTGGAGGCAGGAAAATCAGGAGATCACGGTCATCCTGAATCACAGGGAATGCCAGGAGAGCCTGGGATACATGAGCCTGTCTTGACAATAGACAACCACAAACCCAGGGACCGAAGCATCCTGGGATGCACACCCAGGCTCACAGGACTCCCAGAGCAAGAGCGACAGGCAGGATAGGAAGAGAAGCAGAGGGGAGGAGGGCCTTGAGAAATGCACACTGGTGTGAGCTGCTGGACACGGAGGAGGGATGGAGGCTGGGCCCGCTTGGAGAGCCGCAGCCTGTGGGACTGTAGCCAGGCTCCAGAGCTCTGGCTCTGCCTCTGCAGCTTCCCCCTGTTGTCTATGGACTCTGAGTTGATGGTATGGGACCCCTCTGGGCAGATTCTGAGCTGAGGCTTGGGGACAAAGGTGAACAGGCCAGTGAGCTGCTCCTAAGTGCTAGGGAAAGTAGCAGGCCATGGTGTCAGCAGAGCCCCTAGGGAACCTCCCCATGGCCCCTAAGTGAGTCCCTCCTGTTAGGTACTGAGCATAAGCTAGTGACTATCAAGACAGAGGAGGAGGCTGTGGGGCCTAGTGTTAGCCTGAGTAGGAGAATGGTGTCCAAGGAGGTGACCTCTTAAAGCAGGAAGAAGATACAACCAGGCAATGAAGAGACAGCTGTGCAAAGGCATGCTACAGCCTGGTGTTCTCAGGAACAACAGTTAGCACTGAGCAGGCAGCATGGGGGAGGCTGGCTTCCTAGGGCCCCGAAGGCCACACCCAGAAGCTTGGACTTTGAAGGGAGGGCATTGGTTGGGACGATCCTGGGCAAGGGACATGTGTAATCGGGAGGAGGAAGGCAGACTTAAAGAGAGAGACAAGAGACTATCCTGGGGATAGGCCAGGAAGGGAACAGGAAGTAAGGACAGACAGACAGCCCAGGAGGGTTCAGCCAGACATGAAATGTCTGATGCGGATGGCTACTGAAGGGAAAAGTTCATGGGAGGGTTTGTCCTAAGCCCTCTTCTGAGGCTGGGGAAATGGCCCGATGGTAAACTGCTTTGTGTGCAAGCTGAAGACTAAATTTGAGTCTGGACCCACAAAAAGGCCAAGTACAGCTAGTGCTGAAGCCCTGCTCCGAGGGGGTAGAGAGAAATGGATCCCTGGAACTCAACTCACTGGCCATTCAGTATTGCCAGTTGGTGAGTTTCAGGTTCAGTGATTGACCCTGCCTCAAGAAATACAGTGAGGCTGGAGAGATGGCTCGGTAGTTAAGAGCACTGACACTCTTCCAGAGGACCCGGGTTCAATCCCCAGCTCCCATACACATGGTGGCTCACAATGATCTGGAACTCCAGTCCCAGGGAATCTGACGCCCTCTTCTGGCCTCCTGGGATACTAGGCATGCACATGGTGCACAGACATACATGCAGACAAGACCCTCATACACATAAAGTAAACAGAAATTTAAGTAGAAATAAATAAAATAAAAAAGGAAGAAAAGATGATAGCAGAGGAGAGAGTGAGTTAACCTGAGACAGAAGCAGAAACTGGAGGCAATGTCAGAAAGAGATAGGCCGGGAATCAGAGGGGGCCATGGCCATGGCTTTTCTTCTACTCCAAGAAGAAAGTAGGGTTGGCTCCTTAGGAGAAGGGCAGGTAGTAAAACAACAACCTAAGAAAATAATTATTGCTGGGCAGTGTTGGTACTCACCATCAATCCCAGCACTTGGGAGGCAGAGGCAGGCAGACCTCTGTAAGTTCAAGGCCAGCATGTTCTACAGAGCTAGTTCCAGGACAGCCAAGGCTACACAATAAATAAGTAAACCAACTAATAAATAAATAATAACATAAAATGTGCATGGTACTTTCACTGGCCAGTTTTTATGTCAACTTACCACAAGCTGAAGTCATCTGAGAGGAGGGAACCTCAATTAAGAAAATACCTCTAGGGGCTGGAGAGATGGCTCAGCAGTTAAGAGCATTGGCTGTCCTTCCAGAGAATCTGGGTTCAATTCCCAGCACCTACTTGGCAGCTCACAACTGTCTGTAACTCCAGTTCCCTGGGATCTGACACTGTTATACCAATGCACATAAAATAAAGTTAAATGAATTATAAAAAAGAAAATGTCTCTATAAGATGGGCTGTAAGCAAGCCCGGAGCATTTCCCTAATTACTGGTTGATGGCGGAATGCTGCGGGCCATAGAAATATGAAGTAGGAATTCGGCTGACTATGGCAAAAGCTAATACCTGGAAGAAGCCAAGGGTCTTTCCAGAGGATAAAGCCAAGACTTAAGGAGTCTTGGTGATATTGGCTTTTGAATATGAGCCGCTTCCTGATGTGAATTTCTCGTGTGCTATTGTAGTTTTTCCATTCCTAGACCAGTGTGTTTGATCATTCATTGGGTTCTATTTCTCTATACTTTTGAGGTATTTGGATACTTCTCCCAACTGTGACACAGGCAAGACTTCCTTTTTCCAGGCTTTTGTTTCCTGTTGTTAGCATTAGACTCAGATATCTGCCTTCTGTAATTATCTCCATTAGCAAGTATCCAGGGCCAGGGCCTTCTCCAGACAAAAGCACTTTATCTGGGATACCTCTTAGCATCCAAGGACAAAATGCAGATAGACAAGCACTCCAGACAACCTGCTAGTCTCCCAAGTTAAGGTGAATATTCATACAGAGACAACAGGCAAGGCTAGGCAGATGTTAGGTACAAACCTTAGCTTCTTGAACAAATTAGACTTAAGCCTTTCTTCCATAGCCCAAGTGGTATCTCTAGGCTTTCCCTTTAACAATTAACTCAGAACAAAAGGGCTTACACATACCAGGTGCATCCAGCTATGACACAGGCTTCCCAGTTACCGAGAGACTTGCCCGGCCTGAGCAGAAAGTGGCGGAGCCAGAGAATTGCTGATTGTATGTGTATTTAAACTGGACAAGAGACAGAGACAGAGACAGAGAGGAGAGCAAAGATGGAAGGAACTTAGAACAGTGAGAGGACAGGGGAGGAGCTAAGGATGAGAACAGAATTAAAGCTCTGTAGAGAGATTTTGACTTAGAAGAATAAAGTGAATGGACTAAAGAGTTTCATATAGGTAATTAATCCACTGCTGGTAGTGTCTCTTCTGGAAGTCTAGGAGAAGACTATAGAAGAGCTAGACCCCAA